AATATTATAAAAATTTATAATATTATAAAAGGTTACTATCTAAATTTTTTAAAGTCAACTATCATTTTATAACAAAATTGCCCAAAAAGTGTCATAATAATAATCTATCATTCAGAAGAGAAAAAATGCAAATGTTCCAAATTCTTTATATGACTTTTTAAAAATTTTGTGATGAATAGGGACTCCTCTCCTCTGTACATTCCTAATAAAGCTACATGAAGGCTATACCCTAGTAATATCTTCCCTAGAATTGCAGAATAGGAAGTATTTTGCTCTGACAAATATTTCTATCTCAGTGTCAGTAGCCTCAATAAGAAACCAGAATCAGGAAATCTATGCAAACCTTCAGATTTCGTGACAAATTTTATTTTCAAGGTTTACCAAACCAAATACAGTTCATTCAGTAATTCATTCATTACTGAAAATATCATCTTCACCAGACATATGCAGGGGTAGATTTAAGGTCCTAGAAGTCAACTGTGTACAAGGTAGAACTATAGAGAATAATTGCATAATTTCAAGAGCCAAGGTAAGTATGTAGAATTCAGTTATTGTACAAGGCTCTGCATTTCTACTTTAGAGTAAAACACATCATTAGTGTCACTATAGGTTCTTTGATTTCAATGTTATAAACAAAAATATAATAAATATATACAAAAGTTACTACCAGTTTTATAAATTTCATTTTAATGGTTACAGCAGGGTTCATTGAATTCTTTAGAGTGATTACTTTACTATCTTATATTAAGTATTTCCTCAAGGTAGAATAATTGGAGTCTTCTTATCATAATTTGAAATGAATTTAAGGATGGAAGATACAGAGAATTTGGGGGAATTCAAAATTACAGAGTTGATTTAGAAAGGATATATTTAAAGGCAATCCCAGCTTCAGAAATGGGCCTTGCTTAATTTAAGAACTGAGAGAAATAACCTTTGAAATTGCATAAGGAAACTTACATAAGCATTGAAAGTGGGACATGATCATTACCCCTCCTTTGCTGTTCCTACTGCAAAGATGATCTTTTTCTATGCTTTTCACCTATGTGCATTAAACCTATTATTCTTCAGTACTATTTATGGTAGCATATATTGCATATATTTGTTACTATT